CATCCCCCGGGGTCCCGCTGACCCCCATCCCCCGGGGTCCCCGCATCCCCCGGGTCCCGCTGACCCCAGCGCGGGCCCGCAGAGCGCGCAGTGCGCGCTGCCGCGGAGGTGCTGCTGGAGCGGCCGGCGCCGCGGGACGAGTGCGCGCTGGAGATCCTCAAGGGCGCAGCGCTGCGCCGGAGGGAGCTCTACTACCGCTACAGCTCCACGCGGCTGCCGCTGCTGCTGCGGGACTGCGCCGCCGAGCTCCTCGACTACCTGGTGCGGAGCCGCTACCGCCTGCCCGCGACCCCCGGCGGCCCCCGCCCGCAGCACTGAGCCGCGGCCCCCGGAGGGTCCCCGCAGGGTCCCCGCAGGGTCCCCGCAGGGTCCCCGGCCGCCGGGAAGGTCCCCGGCCATCCCCGTTCCTGGCCGCCGCCGCCGCCGCCCGGTTCGTGATGCGCTGGCGGCACCCGCAGGGACAGAGCGGGGCCCGCAGCGGCGGCTCCGTGCCCTGCTCGCCCCGCCCGGCCGCGGAACACTAATTGTTGAGATAATTATTAAATAAAGTGTATGAACCGGACAGCTCTGCGTGTGCTGGCGGGGTTTTATCGCCTTTCTCAGCTGTTCGTGGGCACAGCTCCACTGGGCACTGCCAGGGATGCAGGAGCAGCTGCAGCTGCTCTGGGCACCTGTGCCAGGGCCTGCCCACCCTCACAGGGAACAATTCCTTCCTAATTGCTCCTTACCCCAAGATCACCCACACAAACCAGCACACACAGAGTGGGTTCTGCCCTTTAAACTTCCAGGAAATCACCCTCAAACCCATTTGCCACCTGCCCAGCAGACACAGAGCAGAATCACAACCCTGGGAAAGCTGAGGATCTTTCCTATCCATTCCCTTGGCACTTCTACTGCCTTTGGCCACCCATGGATTCCCCAACAGTGATATTTTTTAGGGGTAAGAGCCACCCAGTAAACTGCCAGTGTTCTATCCACGGTGATATCCCAGAGGATAAACCAGAATCAGCAGCAGGGGCTGGAAAATAGAACAGCCCGATCTCTCCAGGTCTGGCTGTGAACCTGCACAACAGAGTGCTGCTCACTAAATCCTTGTGGCAGCCAGCGAGGAAGGGAAGGGTTGCTCCCGGTTTAGATGTGGAGTGGGGAGAGAGGGATGTCCACTCGTCCCATGGATGTCTGCTCGGAGGGGACACTGCTGTCCCAGCCCCCAGACTGCCACCAAACCGTGCACCACTGCTCTGCTCAGTGCGTTCCCTTCAGCTCTCTCAAAAAGCTGCCTGAGTCTCCTGGCAGGCCAAGGGTGCAAAGGGACAGCCTAAAGTCCAAAGCCACACGCTTCATTAGGTTAATGTTTGCTAAATCACCGGCAGGGCAAAGAAAAGGTCCAACAGATACCAGCAAACTTGTGTGAGATAAGAACCAGCTCCAAACTTCCCAGCCCCATTTGCAAGCTCCAGCCAGCTTCACCTCCCCGTGGGGCTCCTCCGGTCCTGCCTGTACCTCTGCAGAGGGATGGGATTGCTCCTGAAGGTTCTCATCCCTTTGCTGGGAGCAGCGCTGGCCCTTTATTTTTACTCAGCACCCGGGAACTTCAGTGAAGGTGAGTGCGGGAGAAGGAAGAGCTGCGGCAGCACCGCCAGAGGGGCGGCGTGTGCCGCGCACCGCGGCTGGAAGCGCTGGCAGAGCCAGAGCGGCAGGGAGGGCAGGTCAGACCGCCCCAGCCCGGGTCAGAGCACGGGGAAACTCGGGGAGCTGCACCGGCTCTGCCG